CCTCATAATAATTGATATTCATGACTATTAATATTACACGACTACTTTAAAGGGAGAATGCAGGACCAAATGGAGCGTGAAGCTGGCAGCCAGCTCGAGAGCTCCCCTACTATTGTAAATGACGTTCATTCAGTGGAGAATTACTAGATGTAATCAGACGAGGGGGGCTGGCAGAGGCAGAGTTTGGGGAGAGGGAGAGGGGGGAAAAAGTTTAGCAAAGGAAGAGGCATAACTTCAATTAACTCGAGCGGAGGAAGAGGAGGAAAGTAGACACTGCTGAGCTGGAGCAAGGAAGTGAGATGAAGCAGTGCTAGAGGCGAAGAAGAAGAAGAAAAAAAAATTCCTTTTTTTTTTTTTTACATTTAATTATACATTCCTAATACGAGGAATTGATTGCCTTTGGTGCTTTTGTTCTTGTCGTTTTGGTTTGTTGTTGTCTTTTTTTTTCTTCTTAAACAAATAATGAGGAAAAAAAGGCTTTTCTATTTTTTTTTTTTTTAAGAAATAGAAGAAGAAATGGGCAGTCACTATAATATACGTCTATTTACAGCAGAGATTAAGCCCTTCTGGTGCATGTTACAGATCGTATTTATTCGCAATAGGCAAATAAATACTTGAATCTGCGTTACGTTGGGCTTCACTTTTTTTCTCGACCCTGTTCCTCCCGCCCGCTTTGAAGAAAAAAATAGAAAAAGTACATATTTATCCCGATTTTCACCCAAATGTAAAATGTATGCAGTGAATTTTAAAGGATAGTAAATTTATAGTTTCGAGGCAAAGCCAGGGGCGATATAAAACCTTTTTGATGTTGCAGGAACCCGTTCAACTGGACTGTCTGCCATTTCTGTTAAAGTTCAACTTACGTTCCTTCCTAAATAGACTCACACTTCCCAGAGCCGCCCCCCCCCCCCCCCCCCGCACACACACGCGCACACACACACACACACACACACTTTTGTTTTAAGACCAGATTCAGTTTAAGTGGCTGAGACGCCCCTACCATCGCATTGTTAATTACAAATCAGAAAGAAGAGAGAAAAACACTTTTTTTTTCCCCTTTAAGACAAATACAGAGGGGTTCAGCTCTTAAAAAAACCCCACCAATAATTTATTTTATATATATATTTTTTTTAAGGCTACACGTTACAAAATGACTTGGAGCGCACCCTCAAGTTAGGGTGTCCCTTGCCCGCAGCCAAAATCCCACCCCAACTCCGCTTCTCTCCCACGGCGATCTAAAAACACGAGTGTCCGTGAAATGCAGAGCGGCTTAAAAATCCCTTTCAAAAGGAGGGGGGGAGGGGAGAGAGAAATAATAATAAAAAAGAAACCCAACACAAAAATCCCCGACATTCGCCGACCTCGCTGGCCAGGGAGGGGAGATGTTTTGTCGCCTGCTGCTGCGGGCAGAGACAATGGCCGGGCTGTGCCTGGGGACGGCGAGGGAAAAGCAGCGAGGGCTCAGCGGACTGGGGATGGCCGGCGGGACACACACACACACACACTCACTCACACACACACACAGAGACACACACACACGCCGGGCTGTGCTCATTCTGCATCTGGTTTGCCAGTTGATAATTAGCCTGACGGCAGCTTTTGGGAACGGAGACATTTGTCCCGGGCGGCTGGTGGATCCCTCTCCCCGCTTCCCTCCATCCCGTCCCTTCTCCGGCCGTGACAAGACGGAGCTCTGCCCTCCCTCTGTCGCTTTCTCCGCTTTTTTTTTTTTTTTTTTTTTCTTTC